CGAAAGGTTTGGAGCGCACGTCGGCGGCGCGCCTGCCTACCCCTGCCGGCCACGCACGCACGCCGGCCACGTTTTGGCTTCCGCGATTAGCCACCACTGCCGTTAACCCGGAGCACGATCGCGGCAAAAAGTACGCGGGGCGTCCGACGTTGTCGGCGTCTTGCCTCCACCTCCACGTTTCTTTACCCCCCAAAAATGCAGGTGCCTCATGCTATTTCTGTTCGCCAGCGAGAACGCAGAGGGGAACCGCGCGCATGCCGACCGATGATTAGCGGTGGGAAGCATGCATGGCGAATTGGCGATCGGGTAAGCCGGGCTCGGCGGTTGTGGCACGATGATGCGAGAAGCATGGCGCCGGCGCCAGGTAGTCAGGGTCTTTGGGACGGCCACGGCACGAGCCAGCCAGTTCGTGCTGCGGAGAACACCAGACAGATGGGGCAATCTCCTGTTGCCACGTCGGATGGTTAGACAAGATCAACCGAGTCCGAGAATTTGCTGATTTGAGCCACTTCAGCGGCGCGGCAATCCTAGGCCTCTGTGGCTCTGATTATTATTCATGTATTATCACCATCGTTCAGTCTGTATGCTGTTGGTGCCCCAGGGGCCAAAATATTTCGTCCGCTGCAATGGAACTCCATGCGGGGGAGAAAATTATCAAAACGAAGAAACAATTCGAAGCTCAAAGGGTCTGGTTGAATCACACTGTCTAATTTTTAGCTGGTTAAATTTAAGTATTGGACTTTAGATCGCTTTAATTCACTTTTATGATCTAACGGACTAATATATTTTTAAAGCGTGAGCTGCAATTTAAACTTCACTTTAGACCATCTATTTGGAGTCTCAAGAGTTAAAGTGGTCTAAAGTTTAATGGATACATTTTAAATAAGGAGATCCAAACAAGCCTAAATTATACTCGAGGAATGGAAGTTATAGACTATAACTACCAGATAATTGTTTCGGATGTCATCAATTGAGGCATCACCACTTCCCACCTACAGCTGAGTTGGCGCCCACTTGTGTGTTGTTTAGCGTCAATCAGACTATTAATGTTAATTATATTTCAAGATTTCTATAGATGCCCTAAAGGCAATCTAGGTATTTGCCCACAATCTTTCTTTCTAGCTCATCTCACACAGTGAATAAAAATATTTATCACGAGGCTCAAAATACGCCTTAGGGTTGCACAGAGTGCCATCTCTGAGTGCAGTTGTGGCTCTGGCTAATCACTTGTTGGTTTCATAAGTTACCATTAGAAGTGCTACTGTTAAACTATATAACGGTGCTCACGCGTGGGTTGTCTAGGTTGAGGATAGCTTCATAGGGTTGCGGAGAACCTGTGACCGTGTTTGAGACAGTGCGACAGCCACGCAGCGCGGTATCGTGCCTGCAGCCTCTGGCCCGCGACATGCATGAAAAATGCGAGTGCTGGTTTAATCTTGCAGTGGTTATGTCTTACGTGGTGGAAAGAGTCATCGGCACCATAAGACATTTCACGGGGTTTCCTTGATTCTCGATCGCGGTGGCATGATCCAGAAACCGATTTTAATTGGAAACAAACACGGCCAATGGCTCCCATATCAGTCGAGTGACTAGCATATTTTGACAAAACTATTTATCAGGGCACTTATTGCGGATTTGATATTATGCCTTCAAATCTTGCTTCTCAGCGCATTGAGCAGATTCTTTACTCTAGCTCGTGTGTGTGACATGCTGACATACACAGATTAATTGTTGTGTACCCTCTGTGCGTGTGTACTCTTGTTAATAGGCTTATGTTGAAACTAACAAGTCTGAAAGAATAAGAGCAAGCTATAAACTATAATTGAAAAGTGAAAGTTTAGGATTATCACGTATAGACGTCTAAAGCAGATTTTTCCCCCATTGTTACCTCACTTATACTTTTTCATACTCCTTTCATTTCAAATTATAAATTATTCTAGATCATGTCTAGATACATAATAAAAGTTACTCCCTCCGTCTTGAAATGTAGTGCATTGTGACTTCTAAAATTTGTACTGAAATATAATACAATCCATGTAATGACTATGCCTAGATTTTGCAAAGTTTATTAAAAAGGAAACCACAACTTGAGGAGGAACTCCTTAATTGGATATAATTCATGGGTACATGCATCATTTTAGTGTTCCATTAAGCCATTTAAAAAATTTAGAATACACTATATTACAGGACGGATGGAGCATGTATCTAGAAAAAAGGTATAACAACTTATAATTTGAAACAGATGAAGTATTTTACTTTTGACCCTGCCTCGAGCTCATCCAATCCATTAAGTTGGGATGGAAGTTGAACCCGCGGGGTATGGGTCCCAAGTCGGACCATGAGTCTCATCAGGTTAGGGTCCGAAATAAACCATTTGTCAGATGTGGGTGCTAAATCGCACCCGCAGTATGTTTATCCATGCCAAAAATATACTGAACATCCCAAGTAACTAATTATTGATGTCTTGTTGCTGACAATGTGTTTGCACCTAAATACTGAATTTTTACGCCATATTATAGAAACTTCAATAATTATTACATGACACATATGTGGATGACTAGATGTGTGATATATAGATGAGAAACTTCGTTTGTTTTCAACTTTCAATAATTACTAATGCAATCATGATGATATATTTCTTGTGAGATTAACACACCCGACAGTTGCCCGAAACCCGTGGGGCACCCACATGTGCTGTCATGGGTGCAAAATTGCATCCGTCCCAACAATATTTTGTGGATGTAACCATTGACGGTATTTTCTCTCCACCCGCAACATATCCGACACGTTGCCATCCCTAGCATCGAGCAACTCTTTGCCCCTTATCTTTAGTCTTTGGCCGGGCTTTAGGCTATATCGCGGTGCCTCATCCATGCAGACATACACAAAGACATTAGCAGTGCGGCTATGAGATTCGCTTTCAATCTTACTTCCATGCTCATGTGATCATCTCTAACCGGGCATTAGCCGGTGCGTAGATGTGCATGTTACATTTCGATAACATCCATAAAGACATCCTTTATTTTCCCGTACTTTGTGTTTAAGCGGCTCACACCATGAAAATTATTAATAAATAAAAGAAAACACAAAGATGCCTTTCTACAATATTTTATGCCTTTACCTCTCCTTCATGCTAGCCAAATTTTACCATGTTGGTCCACAATCTTACTTGCAGGCTCATCTAATCATCTCTAGCCAGGCATTGGGCGGTGCTTTGATGTGTATATTACGTTTGAACAACATCTATAAAGGCTTCGCTTTACATCTTTTTTGTTGTCGTACTTCGTGTTGAAGCGGCCCATGCCATGGAAATCACTAAAAATATAAAAAAGAAAGATACCCTTTTTTGTAGCAATAGTTCATGGCTTTACCTCTCTTTCGCACTAACCAAATTTTACGATATTGGTCAACAGTCTTACTTCCAAGCTCATTTGATTATCTCTAAACGGGTATTAGGTGGTGCATCAATGTGCATGTCACGTTATGATAACAACCATAGAGACCTCCTTTTCTATCTTTTATATAAAGACCTTGTTTTATATCTTTTATGTTGTCGTGCTTTGTGTTGAAGCGGCTCACGTAATGAAATAATAATAATAAATGAAAAAAACGCAAAGATGCCTGTTTAGCAATATTTTATGGCTTTACCACTCTTTCACGCTAGCCAAATTTTATGATATTGGTCTGCAGTCCAGGCTCATCTAATAATCTCTAGCAGGGCATTAGGCGGTGTGGCGATATGCATGTTACGTTTCGATAATATCCACAAAGACATCGCTTTACATCCTTTGTGTTGCCGTACTCTGTGTTGAAGCGGTTCACGCCATGGAAATTAATAATAAATAAAAGAAAAACACAGAGATGTTGTTTTAAGCAATATGATATGGCTTTACCTATCTTTCACACTAGCGAAATTTTATTATATTGGTTCGCAATCTGACTTCTAGGCTCATCTCACCATCTCTAGCCGAGCATTAGGCGGTGCGTCAATGTGCATGTTACGTTTCGACAATATCCATAAAGACCTCGGTTTACATCTTTTATGCTGTCATACTTGGTGTTCAAGCGGCTCACACGATAGAAATTATTAACAAATAAAAGAAAACTCAAATATGCCTTTTTAGCAATATTTCATAGTTTTACCTCTCTTTCACGTTGGCCAAATTTTACCATATTAATCAACACTATGCCCATATACTTATTTTGCATGGGCATGGACCTTCATTGAGTTCGCAAGTTGTTTTCCCACTTCAAATCCGACCGTTTTACTTGATTTGGTAATGATTGAGTGCTCATGTGTAAATACGAACTTTCCTTTGTTAACCAATGGTGCTGTGTTGTCAACGTTCGTTGAACTGCAATTTTTACATTGGAGGATGAGAGCTGTTGGTGGGTGACAGACAATATGAAAAGAGCACTCATCATATGAAACCAATGCCAATGCCACAAATAGGAGCAACAACCGTGAAAAAAGAGAAACAGGAGGTGAAACTCTCCCTGTTCCTCGTTTCACAAAATGGAAGCCATTTTAGTAGACGCCCCGCCCGGTTTAGCTAACCACACGAGTTAGACGGCGCGAGAAGCACGAAAACACGCCCGCCGCTAATCCAATCTCGCGATAAGCCCGTTTCTCTCCCCTGGGCGCGCTTTATAAAAGCCACCCGCACATCTAGGTCCTCTCGCCGTCCTTCCCTTCGACATTCTCGCTGGCTCCCTCCCCGTCCGTCGTCTTTGGCTGGGGCAGATAACAAAATCTGATATCCCTGGGGCTTTGCCGTCCGGGTCCCCTACCTTCTCATCTCTCACACAAAACAGAAGGGGAGGAGTTTTAGGGAGGGAGGGCAGGAGGAGCCATCATCGTGTCCGTGCTGGCCATTATTATTTCTTCCTCCAGCGGCAATTTCTGGCTACCGTACCGGGCAGGCGTGCTATATTTACTCGGGTTCGTGGCCGTCCCGGTCCGTCCAAGCATGTAGAGTGGCGTGTCCTTCCTTGGCGGAATGGCGGAGGAGTGCCCGCCCACTGGCGGCGCGGAGCTCTGGCTGCCCGACGAGTTCCTGGACGACGACTTCTTCTCCGAGGAGGAGAAGGCGGCGGTCGCGGCCAAGAGCGAGAGCGACGAGGAGGAAGGAGTGGATGGCCTCTCGCGCCGCGTGGCTGGGCTCGTCGTCGGCAACGGGAAGGGAGGAGGAGGCGACGGTTCCCCTGCAAAGGTTGGTTGGTTGCCTTTTCTGTTGTGGTGCCATGTTTGGAAGTTTCCGGTTTCGAATTTCGCGGAGCTCTGATCGTTTCCTTTCCCCCTTCCTCGTGTGTGTGGCAGGCGGAAGTGCTGGCCGGCTCGCCGCAGTCGATTCTGTGCGGCCTGCATGCTTCCGGGGAGGACAGCCCCAACGGCGCTGCGTCGCAGGTCAGCTCGCCGCCGTCGTCGCCGCTGGAGCAGGCGCCGGCGGATCCCTGGGACCTGCTGAACGAGGCGGCCGGCCAGGTGGCCCGCTTGCGCACAACCAGCATCCCCGTGCCAACGAACGCGGTCGCCAATCAAGGACAGCCCGTCATGCCGCCGCCGGCAAAGAAGCTCTCTGCGCCGGCCGAGGCTCCGAAGGCTGCCGGTGCCAACCACTCTCAGCCGAATAACTCGATGGAACAGCGCCGGATTCAAATTGCTCGAGTGAGTCCCTCCGCCGTAGATTGCGGCGACGCACGGGCTCGGCCACTTGTTTTGGTTTCTGATGCCGTTTTCCTCGGCGTGGTTCTGTTCCTGCAGTTTAATGCCCTGAAGCAGCAGCAGCAGCTTCTCAAGCACCAGCGGGAGCGGGAGCTCGCCGTCGCTACGGCGGCGGCGTGGGGCACGCGTGTTGCTGGGTCTCATCGTGCCGGTGCCGCCGGGTACGGCGCGCCGGCGCCAAATGTCCTCAGCGCGTCCGCGTGGCCCCCGCTCCAGAAGTCGCAGCAGCAGCAGCAGCAACCGCCGGCGTCACCGGCGGGTATGCGCGCCCTCTTCCTCACCCCTCCCGGCGCCAAGCGCGAGTGCGCCGGCACCGGCGTGTTCATCCCCCGCCATGCCGGCGCCCCCGCCGAGCCCAAGAAGAAGCCAGGTAAGCGCACCGGCACCGCGCCCACAGATAACAGATGCCTTTCTGGTCTACTGGTGGATTCTTTAAGAATCTTAACCGATTTTTATTACCATGCTGGCCGTGAACAGCGTGCTCCCCTGTTCTTCTCCCGGCGCGCGTCGTGCAGGCACTCAACCTCAACGTCGAGGACCTCGGGGCCCGTCCCATCTACCCTGGCGGTTTCGTTCTTGATCACGGTAATTACTTTCCTTAAGTACACTTGCTCATTAATGTGGCTTGGCTGGACTGATGAATGAATGGCTTGCATGCTCCTCTTGTGTGTTTTTACTTCAGATGCACTGGTGAGTCGGAGCAACGCTCTGCTGGCGGCTCGATCGTCCCAGCTCCGTGGCGCCTCTTCCCGCGAGGTGAATCTCCCCCAGGAATGGACGTATTGAAGCGCCGAATCCCGCCACCGCTGCAAGATGATCCCTTCCCCAGATTAACGGGTCATATTCAAGAAAAAAAATTACTATTGCTATTGCTATTGCTAGCAAAATAGGTAGGTGTTAGGCTAGAAGTAGGAGGCAGCGGTGGTAGCATTATGCATCATGAATCATCAGCGTTTGGTGTTCTTTTGTGCGGGTGATATATTGGTTATTTTGGGGATGATGGTTGGTGATGGATGGGAGCCGATGAACAAGGTCGTTGGGGGAGGAACAATAAGTGGGTGCTTTTGGAGAACTACTCCGATGGTTAGCTGGTTCTCATACTATGATGATGATTCCCAAGAAAAATCATCAGCAGTCTGTTTGTGAAAGAGATGTGTCAGTGTAAGCAAGAAATAATAAGAGCTCCATATTTCCTTTTTTTCTGTTTTGGTGTTGATGTGCAGAAACGGATCAGGCTTTCTTTCTTCCTCCTTTTGTTTTCCCGTTGCTTCAAGGGTAAGGAATCGCCGTCTTCAGGAAAGAAATAATCGTACTACAGTACTATCACTTTATTAGTTTTGGCTGCGGCTTCATTTTTTTCTTATGATTGTTGGAGTGATCGGTTCAGTGTGGTTCGATGATTCAGTTATTATTAGTGCAGGAAGAAGAAGAGGGGTGAACAGAACAGGTGGGTGGTTGCAGTGTACTTCTTGAGCTCTCTCCCGCTCTCGCTATCCCCACCCCCTGAACAAGTCTGGTTTATGAAGTCAAGTTGCGTAACTTGGCGGCATGTGATTCCTTTATTCTGGCTTACTCGTTGCCATCGAAACTAACGGGTCAGCTGCCACCAAAGAATCTCTGGCTCTGGCCGGGCCTCCGGGCCCGGGATCTTGCATTGCATCTCCGTGGCCGCCATGTCACTGTCCCCCTCCTCCCCCAGGCCGGCCCCCCGGGCCCCGGACAGCGATGCCTGTGAACTCCCCGTAAATTTTCCTGCATTTTATTGGCAAGGTCCGCAGGTTCAGTTTACCCCCCAGCAGGTCGCTCTGAATCTTCTTCGCTGGTCCCTCTCCAGTCCATGCGAGAGCGAGCGAGGCCGCCAGTTTCCGTGGCCCTCGACGCAACGAGGAGCGAGAGGTGCGTGGGCGGCGTGCGTCTGGCCCAGATTCCGTTTCGCAGCGGATGGCCGGCTGCTATCGTCCCGTCGCGGCGCGGATGGCCTGGCGCTTTGCCTCTTTGCTCTTGGGTCGTTTGTGCTGTTGCCCTGCCCGCGCGCCGACCCGGTCAAGCTGAGCAGGCCATCGAACGCCTTTATCTCATCGACACAGGCAGCCGAACTCCTTTCGTTTTTGGCCAGACGAACGCCTTTCCTTCCGTGGCCTTGAAACGAACATGATAGACTTATAGGATCACATACTATAATCTAGCATATATATTGACATCTGATATAGATCTAGCATATATATTGACATCTGATTGAATAGTAAATCCTAGAAACAGAGAGAGAGAAGGGTTGCGGAGGTGTAAACCATCGGCCGTCTTCGTAGAAGACGAGCTTGCCATGGGGTGCTTGTCGGAGATGCGGTGAGATCCGGCGGTGAAGTCGTGGACACAGTGACGGCGGTGCAGAAACGGCGGTGGCCGGTGGCGGTCTTTCCGTCGCTGACAACGCCCCCTCACTAGATTGACTTAGGGTTTAGGGACTGTAGGAGGGGCGTTTGGCGGCTCAGGTGATTCTCGTGTCTTGTGTTCCGGCCCCCACCTCCCTTTTTATGGCGTTGTACGACGGGGGCCCACCAATCATGGAGCGGTTGGGTGCCCCCGATCAGGACGCAGATCCAATGGCCTAATTAGGCCAATTGATGAAGATCAATCTAACATTCTCTCCCTTGATCTCACTTATGATTTAAACTTAACTTACTTACTTTATCTTGTTCTCATTCCATCACAGATCAGTGCATAAAGCGTGCCTCATCGACACGGCCAATTGCCATTAGATTAAACAGCTACAATACATCTCCCTGTTTTGAAACAGATTCTCAACTAAACTCTCATTTTTCAGGAATCATACACTTTCCCTTAAACCCATGGCGGCTAAGTGTTCTCTAAACACGCTGGGTGCTAAGCATTTTTTAAGCGGATCCGCGAACATCTTTTCTGATCTTATATGCTCAAAACTAATTATATGATCCCGAACTTTATATTTCACAACATAATACTTTATGTCAATGTGTTTGGCAGCACCACTTGATTTATTGTTGTGAGCATAACATACTGCTGGATTATTACCGTAGTATAACTTGAGTGACTTATGTATGTCGTCTACCACTTTCAACCCGAGCATGAATTTTTTCAGCCAATTCACCTGCCTTGTGGCCTCATAACATGCTTCAAACTCGGCATATATTGTGAACGATGTAGTGACGGTTTGCTTTAAGTTTTTCCACGATGTAGCTCCTCCTACGAGAGTGAATATGTATCCTAATGTGGACTTTCTGTCATCTCCCGCATAATTAGAATCTATATACCCCCTCTATGTGCAGTGAATTAGATCTTCTGTATGTTAGAAGGAGACCCTTCGTACCTTGTAGGTAACGCAAAACTTTCTTTACTAATTTTCAGTGTTCTATTCCTATATTACTCTGATATTTGCCAGTAACCGGTAACAAATGCTAAATCAGGGCGAGTACGCGTTTGAGCATACTGTAAACTTCCAACAGCTAAACTATATGGAACAACTTTCATTTGATCGATCTCATATTACTTTCTGGGACATTGAAATTTTTCATATCTATCGTCATTGACTATGGGAGCAGATGAAGACTTACAGTTTTACATGCTGTATTTCTTTAGAACTTTTTCTAAGTATGCCTTTTGTGATAATCCTAAAACCCCTTTTCTCTATCTCGGTGAATCTCTATTCGTAGGACGAACGAAGCTTCACCGAGATCCTTCATATCAAACTTCGAAGACAAGAACTTCTTTATTTCTAGTAGTAGATTAACATCACTGTTAGCCAGCAAGATGTCATCCACATACAAGACTAGGAAAATGTATTTCTCATTCTTGAACTTTGCATAAACGCAATTATCCTCTATGTTTTCTTAAAACCCAAAATTTCTTATTGTACTATCAAACTTCAAATACCACTATCTTAAAGCTTGTTTTAATCCGTAAATGGATTTCTTCAGGAGGCATCCCATACGTTCTTTTCCTTCTACAACAAAACCTTTCGGTTGTGTCATATAAACATTTTCCTCTAGATCCTCGTTTAGGAACGCCGTCTTTACATCCATCTGATGTAATTCTAAATCGTAATGTGATACAAGCGCAATTACGATTCTAAAAGAATCCTCACATGAGACTGGAGAAAATATTTCATTATAATCTATACCTCCTCTTTGCGTGAAGCCTTTCGTCATAAGTCGCACTTTGAATCTTTCTATATTCCCTTTGGAGTCATGTTTGGTTTTGTAGACCCATTTCCAACCTACTGTCTTGGCTCTTTAGGAATTATTTCTAAGTCCCAAACACCATTGCTTTTCATTGATTTTATTTTATCTTTCATGGCTTCAAGCTACTTTGATGAGTGAGCGCTTCTCATGGCTTCTTCAAATGAGGTGGGATCACCCTCCATTTAAAATTCCTCCCATTCATAAACTTCGTAGTCATCAGGAATGGCTTATCTCCTGACTCTTTAAGACCTTCTAGGGGCCTCGTTAGATGATGCTTGTTCTATATGAGGCTATTGTTACTCTTCCTCATGTGTGACAACGTGTTCTAAAGGATCCTAAAAGACAGGTTCCTCATGTTCATTCATTGTTGCCACAGGAGAACTAACAACAGGTGCTGTAACTACAGTGTCTAAACGACAGTGCCATAATTTTGAAGAAATTTCATGAACTCTCTTTCGCTTATTACTCGCATTCATAGACGAGGAAGAATTCTCATTTTCAGTGCTCACATCATTCACATTTTCAGAAAGTGGTAATAAATAAAACTTGTCTTGTCAAAAGGTAAGACCAACACACTTATTATTATACACAATCCGATATTTGCCATTACCAAAATGGCAATCATAACCATCATCATCTAATTGTGAAACACTTATCAAGTTTCTACGCAAAGAGGGTATATAAAGTATATATGAAAGCTGAAGTCTAACACCATCATCTAATTCTAGAGAAAGATCTTCAATGGCTTCAACTTCAGGTTTAACTCTATTTGCAACTTTAATTCTTCTTTCTCCTCTTTGTAGGGTCCTCCTCCTACGGAATCTCTATAATAAATTTGCAACATGAACAGTTGCACCCGAATTAATTCATCAAGTTGATTTTGCATAACTTAAAAATAAGGATTCATCTATGAATGTAATGAAATCATCACCTCTCGTCAGAAGGCTCTTCAAGAAGCCTGGACAGTCCCTCCGGTAATATTCATGCTTCTTGCACCATTTACACCGAACCTTCTAACTTGAGCATTGTTGTTCTTCGGATGGTGGTCATTCTGAGGGGCTTTTCCTTGATATTTGGCATTCTTATTGAAGTTCTTTTTCTTGTTGTCCTTCACCAGGTTAGCAGAGTCACCCTGTGAGCTTTTCAGCCTCTCCTCTTCTTGAAGACACATTGCAATAAGCTTCTCTATATCCCACTTATCGGGCTACATGTTGTAGTTCACAACAAAAGTTTTATATTCTTTGAGTAAGGAAGCAAAAACCAAATGAATAAGGAACTCATCCTTGAGCCCCAAATTCATTGGCTTCAGCTTCGAAGCCGTGTTACTCATCTTCAGTATGTGCTCTTCAATACCGCCACCAATGTATTTCTTATTGAACAATTTCTTGATCAAAGTACTGGCATAAGCTTTTGAAGAGCCAGTAAACTGACTCTCCACTTTTTTAAGATACTCTACGGTGGTATCACAATCTGGGATAGACCCTCTTATCATATCTGGAATAGTGGACTTTGCCACCATCAAGCACTTGCGGTTTAAAATATTCTATTTCTTATGTTCAAGATCATATTTCA